TTATTACACCAGCAGGTGAGTGAAAGATGTCGTGGTTACTGTTGTAAAACTAAGAGGAAACTTCAGTGTCGTTCAGCACTTCATAGATACAACAACAACAAAAAAAGAAAATCCAGTATATGGTTATTGTGCAAATGTATTTATACAAGCACTGAAGTTTTTAATAGATATTATTCTGTCAAATTTGACATGTGCTTTAATGATTGTACTTTATCTCAGATAATATTTGAATTAAGTTAGTTCATTATCAAAGTTCATTAAAATACTTAGTTAAAACTTTTTATTTGAAACTTATTTTTGGTGATAAATTTCTGTCCTGTCTGATTGTCTTTTAGTTGTATTTGCATTTGGCTTCTCAGGAAACACTGTTAAATGTTCAGTTTCTATGCCATATGTTAAAACAAGATCTAGAGTGTGATTAAAGTGGTGGGTGGGTTCTTTCACATTTTGACAGACACCAGTTGAGTCTAATAATAATATCTAATAATAATCTTGTGTTGCTTTGATCATTAGTTGTACTTTTTCAAATAATACTGTAATTACTAAGATGAACGACTTTAGTAGAAAGAAACTCAATTCTTTTTCTATCACCATTTTCAGGATATGAAACTTTCAATTGACATTTGCCAGATATACAGTCTGTATCATTCTCTTCACCACTACAAATATCACACCTTCCTGCATTGCAAGAAGGAGGTAAGGATTTTGTTGCACTTTTGCTATAATACCCAGTGTGTATTATATTAGGGATACAATAAATGATATAACATAAACCACCTATATGGCTGGTTTAACAAAGTTACTGAAGTTCCTGTTGATCCCACGTGCACATGGGGATCGGGGCTTTCAGGCACCAAGCCTGTGGAGCTCTCTTCCATTGTCCAGACTCTGTTGACTCTTAAAAAGCAGCTGAAGACATTTCTATACAAACAAACTTTTATTTAATTTGATCATTGTGTTATATTATTATTTGTATTTCTGATTTGACTGTTGAGCACTTTGTGATCTTTATCTGTGAAAAGTGCTATATAAATAAATTTGACTTACTTACAGCATGAATTTA